TTTTCCTTCCTTAAGATGTTAATTTCTGATTTCTTAAATTTACGCGAACACTACACATTGAATAAAACTATTATTTACGGATTTTATCGCGTTTAATTACTTTAATTTATTTTTATAATTATCCCGACGTTTCGGGTGCTTTACAGCGCCCATGGTCACGGGGGGGGGAGACTGAGATGTTTGACGTCCCAATGTCATAGTTAGTCCGGCTACCTTCAGTTTTTTAATATTAATTTTTGGTCCGATTTACGCAAAACGAACTTACAGTATCTTGAAGTCTTGCAGTGGTATGCTTGGGTTTGGGTTTAATTTTGTTAATTATAGGATCCCAAGCAGATGGCAGCACCCAACCATCTTCTCTATTGATATTAGGATGTTTTTTTTAATTTCAAAAGCCTCGCGTATCATCCTTGGTAGGAATCAGTGTTCTTTTGTGAGGATTTGTGGTTTATCAAATCTGATGTAATGGTAGGGACGATCTTGAACATGTTCACAGACTGCAGACTTCCCGGAACGTCGGTGCTTCACATCAGCTATATGTTCTTTCACGCGGGTTTTTATGGATCTTTTTGTTTGACCTATGAAAGAGAGACCACATTCACAATCCAGCTTATACACACCTGACAAGATGCAGGTAGGTAGGTTATAGTCCAGCGTACTTGTATATATAGAGGTCAGTGTCTGTGCCCCTTTAGGGGTATATATTAAAGTTGTTCAAAAAGACTATAAATCAATAGCACGCTACAGACTATAAACTATAAATTTCTAGCGCGCTGTTAAGTACGCTATGTTATAGCACCCTATTTATAAGAAAGCGTGTAGGAGGCCGGCAAGCGCGTTAAGTTTTGCGGCACGCTATATCTCGTAGCACGTTACATTACATGTTCATTAGATAGACCACGTGCTATATAAGAACATTATTTCGTAATAAGTCGCATTTTAGACTAAAATAAAATCAAGCGGTAAAGATAAACCAATGAACGCTTTTTCATACAATTCAGGCTTACGACTTTTTATAATCCTAAATACATTTTTAAAGCATGTACTTTTTAAAACGAAATAGAATTAATTTTTTTTTATTAAAATTTATGTAAATGTTATTTTAACCTTAATATAAATTATAAATCAAATAAGGATGTATTTAAAAGTTTATTGATTATATTTATAAAAATCAACTATTTACATACACTATTAAATATTGTTTTGTATCTATATTTTATTTACATTTAAAAACATTAGTTAGGCTTCTTTTATAGCAGACAACTGTGTCCTGCGATAACTTTAAATATACAGTAATAATAATAATAATATCCTCCAGACCGAATTTCGGCCACGGTGGCCTGCCTCAGCGGAGGCTAGCCACCGACGCAGGATAGGATTATAGTGCCCAAGTGTATGCGCAAGCACAGGTGCACTCTCTATTCCCTCACTCTCATAATCCGATGGGACGGTAAACCGACATGACCGGAGAGAGATCCGGCGCAGGTCCAAAGGCTTTACGTGCTTTCGGAGGCCCGGGGGTGAGACACCGCCAAATTCCTGACTCCGGGCAACTACTGAGAATTTATTGACGGAAAAACTCAATAATCAGTTTTTTTGGCCCGACCCGGGATTCGAACCCAGGACTTCATGATCAGCAGTCGTAGTACTACAACCCCTAGACCAACGAGGCATTCAAAATATACAGTATACACTAACTAAACAACGTTTAACACTATATTAGGTCGTGCGCGATGAATAGCGTGCTACAAGATCAAATTTGCGTCACACGTCCTCTCCCAACAGCGCTGCTGCTAGAACTAGTTGCCGCTAGATATTAATACTTAATAGCGCCAAAGCGCAATAGCGCCATGGCGACTATTTACACAGCACGCGCTATGTGTTATGGAGAGATAGCGCGCTATATTATGGCGCTATGCGCTATATTAACCACCATTAGTCCATTATAGAGATGAGTCGTACTAGGTAAATTTCGTACTAGGTGCACCTAGTCCAATTCCGTATAAATACTCGATCCAAATACCTGTTCCACCTAGTCCATAAAGTATCAAGTACACATAAAGTTTAGTATTGTTGGAATAGGAATAGGATACGCTATAGTTTCAAGTACCATATTTTACGTACGTACTGCTGAAACGTGTGCAATAATGAATTCATACATCTTCCCTTCATACTTTACAAAATTATTATAATTATTCTCGTAACTAAATTACGAGAATTAAGGTTATATGAGAAATAAATTAAGATCATTTACTTCCAATTACTTCAAATGCTACTTAGTAGTACTTCATATTTTGTAAAATTTGTTTTAAAAGATGTTTATCTTTGATTTATTTGAAAAACTCTAGAATGGGAGTACTCACCTATTGATTTTGTGTCTTGATTTTAAGCTGCTATGTTTTTTTTACTATTGCTATAATTCTATAATTGGTTGATGCAGCTCATACTAATGACGGAAGGGAGAATTTAAAGTGGATTATTTTCATTTATCTCTCATATAATCTTAATAGTAACGAGCCTAATTATAATATTTTTTTAGAATATTGTTTGCATAATTCTTATAAATAACATTAAAAAAAGAATTGTTCTGAAAAATAAAAAGTGAGTTTGTCAGTTCCGGCGCACGTCTGAAGTTCACTCCTTACGAACGATTATAAAATATATAGATTAGTAAATGTGGGTAAATGAACGCATTTTTATACTACTAAAAGCATGCATGACATGATTCATCAAAATATATTACATAATCATCGAAACGTAAATTGTTTACGCTTTCAATACTATGTAGTCATGGAAACATGAAAACAGCGTCCACCGAGATCACATTCGCATGAGTCCGTACCGTATTTGACAATAGACACTCGCCTGCCTTGTACTCTTGTATAAGTATTTGGTTGAACTAGTCCGAGTCCCGACTAGTCTCGAGTCTCGAGTATTGACAGACAAAGATAGAAAGACTACGGAATAGTCTAGTTAAAAAAGGACAGAATATAAATATATTATTCAAAGAGTATAGTAATATATACGGATATTATTACACAACAAACACGAGTGCGCGTCACGTTACCTTTATGTTCATTAAAATTTGGTTCAAATTCAAATGACTGACAAACTAATGATTTAGGCAAAGACGACCCGAGTTGAGCGCCTAGTAACTACAGTCTACGGCAACAAAATACGATTACGACGCTTAGGCACAGTGAGACTAGATGGATCAAGTATTTTAAAAGTTGGAATAGGTGCAACCTAGTCTCGTTAAATACTTAGTCCCTGGATCTGTTCTAGTATATACGCTTCATCTCTTGTCCATTAGTATATATATTCTGTGGTAGTGTGATACTGATATTAGGCATGTCGATTCACTCTTAAAAAAATCGATCTCTGAATCGATTTGAATCGATGATACTAGAATCGATTATCGATTAAATAGAGGATTAAAAGATCGATTTTCGATTAATCGCGACATTTTCAAACGTGAAATTTCAAGAATTTGCGAATTTTTTTCATTAATTGAACTTTAATATTTTTTTAGAATAAAATATTAGTAATCTTATTAATTAACATTACTAATATTCCTTTTAACCACTCCTGGTAAGCTAGAAACGCTTGTGTTAGAAGTGGTTCGGCCATACGCCACTCAATCCCTTTTTTTACAAAGTGATTTCCATGTATCACTTTTATTTGACATTTTAGGCTAAAAACAACAACATTACTTTAACAAAAGTGCAAACTTCAACGTACATTTCTCGATAAAGCTGTTTCGGTCTAATAACTCACCATTTATCAAATTGAAATGAATACTACACGAACACAATACTGGTTATTTCCTTACTGTCTGTACCCACAGCTCACAGTATGTATGTTTTTGATAATTTCAGTAAATTCACAAGTTCACAGTTCAAACAAGTTCACAGCTATAATTTTATACTGTAGTATGTATATGTAGCCTTTGTTCACAGCACAGATTATTTATACGTGGTAGAGCCATGCTGCAGTTATATTAGATGTATAGTTGTAGCACGAATGGGTCGGCTCGACCGGGGAAGGACCACGCTCTCACAGAATACCAGCGTGAAATAGTAGCTTAATGCTGCTGTATTTCGTATGGTGAGTGTAGAGAACCGGCGACCCATTTTACTGGAAACGAGGCATTCCATCTTAGTCCTCACGGGTGACAACACATCTGCATTTTGATTCGTAATCGAGGATAGATGTAGATGTCTATGGGCCACAGCAACCACTTACCATCAGGTGGACTGTGTGCTCGATTATCACCCTATCCTATAAAAAAAAATAAAAAGATTAAGTTAGACCAACATCCCACAGGCAAGATTAGAATTAGAATTTAAGAAATGAAAATGAAATGACAACTTTTCGATATTGTTGGATGCGTTTATAAATATTTATTTTATTCAAATAAATATGGCGTTCAAATTATCAACCAAGTACGACCGATTCTTTTTGCGTCCCTCAACAGCAAAAGTTTAAAAAACTGCGGTATCTTACTACAGCCAGTTTGGGAATTTTATCGCTAGTTCTTGAATCAGATGAATCAGTTCGATTCGAGAGGTTTTTGGATCGATTCAGTGAATCGATGCGGTGCTCTGCATCGATTTAAAAAATCGATTATTTTACTCCAAAGAATCGATTTTTAGATTAATCGATTTTAGATCGACATGCCTAACTGATATCTATTTATCTATGCGTGTTTTATTTATGAATCATGGATTTTGTTTGTTAATTTGTTATTTCTTGGTTCTTGGTATTCAATAAAAATAAAATACATTTGTTTTGTATTGTAGTGGGAAAGTGGTGTAAAGTCATTTTCGATAGGTGAGTCTAGTCACAACTAAAACAAAGTTACTCAATAAGTAAATGTCGGGGGAAACCCATCATTTAATAATGAATTCATAAAGAAATTTTCACCTCTGCAGATTCTAACAATGTCTCTGTATCCTTCGCTTGAAGACATGAAAGTGGACAATATGGTGAGGGCTCAGATGGCTCAGCACCAAGCTCCACCCCCTTATAATCCCTCAGCTATACATGAAGCACCTACGGGTCACGTATATCCTCCTCTTGCGGATTATATGGGTCTTGAACTGTCACAAGATACCATTGCCTTGAACATGCCGGAATATCAAATCCAAACTGTAAGTTATGTAGTAGGTATGTCTTTACCCTTAGTGCATCGTACAGCTGTAATATGAAGGTGGCAGTTTTCTAATATTTCCGACAATGTCAACTACACAAGACAGGACAGGACTAGTTATAAAGGTTTTGTCACTTAAATTAAGTATGAATGTTTCAATAGAAGCCCCATTTTTAACAAATAACACTAGTGTGCTATAACCTTGTGTGGTGCTTAATAATCACCAAATAACAAACTTTTGGTGTGTATTAATTGCGTAAGAATATCTATTACCCCATATCATCTTGTGGGTGTTTTAGGATGGGATGGAAGGTAATGAAAATAGGAGGAGGAGGATTTTCTACTGAAAGTAATATAAGTTGCAGTAGCCAACTTGCCTGTAAAGCATCATAGCTTTGGGTAAATCCCCAATGAGGTAATTTAGAATGTTCAGCTGTGGGCTTTTTGGGTTGAAATAATGTGACATGCTATGAAATGTGAACAAACAAATGAATAATTTGGCAATGGTATTAGCATCACAGCCCCTGCTCTTCTCAAGATATTATTGAGCAATGCAAAACATTTACCGACAAATATTTTATGTATTATTTAAGAGGTGTAATATTCTCTTGCAGGTGCAACCAAGAGGGACAGTGAATACTTTAGTTGCTCCACTTTCTTCTCAATCTACAAGTTTGGCTAAAGCGACTGTTACACAAGCTATTCGTCAAGTTGTCCTTTGTAAAGACCGTGATGGCAAATGTGGGTTAAGGCTTCATTCTGTAAATAATGGAGTTTTTGTTTGCTACATAACTAATGGTAGCCCGGCAGCTTTGGCTGGACTGCGGTTTGGGGATCAGATACTGGAAATAAATAATGTACCACTGGCAGGAATGACTATGGATCAGTGTCATGCAATACTGAAGAAGGCACCTGCCAATGGCATCACTATGGCAGTTCGGGACAGGTATTTTATTCCTGTTTTTAAATATGTTTTTTTTTAATCAAACAGTTTAGGAACAAATTATTTTTTTGATTGGTAACACTATCAAAATTTGTGTATCAAAATAATAGTAATACCAAATTCCAAAAAATATTACATTACTTATTTCTGATTTTTTATCAGTTTTTTTTTTTCAGTTAAAATATTTAAATAAGAATATTAAAGTACTTTGCATTATTTATAATTTTGAAAGTTTCTAATTCTAAAATATTGTCTAACTGTTTTAGACCATTTGAGAGAACAATCACATTACACAAAGACTCGCTTGGTCATGTGGGCTTTCAGTTTAAGGATGGTAATATTGTTGGTCTAGTTAAAGACTCATCAGCAGCCCGTAATGGCCTCCTAACCGATCATCAGCTACTAGAAATAAACACAATAAATGTGGTTGGTATGAAAGATAAGGAAATATCAAGAGTTATTGATGCAAGCCCATCTGTTGTAAACATAACAATTATTCCACATTATATCTACAAACATATGATAAGCAAGTAAGTGCAAATTGTTAATCTTCACAATATTATAGTATTTAATTTGTTAGTTCAAATTTCACCATATTATTGATTTAAGTGACACACATAATTAGTCATGAGGCCTGTTGCAGTGACTCATTGTTTTATTTTAACAGGATGTCAACTTCATTGTTTAAAGAGCAAGATCGCACACCAGCTGTTTAAAATGAAGACTGGTTACTTCGTGAATTATTTTATGTCTCCACACTATTCAATATTAACAATTATTATTATACACAAACATTTAAATTTAATATACATACATTTTTAAATATATTTGCCATTTGAATAGTTTAAGAAATAATATATATTATCTAGAATGTATTATAGTCAGTAGGGGCTGTGAGGACAAGACAAAATCTATTCTAAACCAATTGTTTACTTTGTTTTTGTTAAATTAAATTAATTACTGAAGTCTGATTAGCCATTTTATAGCCATGACTACTAGTTATGTCAACAGATAGTGCACATAGGTATTATCTTTGTAATCTTTTTTGATTATTTTATAATGATAATAATTTTTGAACTTAACAAGATAATAAGTAAACCAAATTATTAATTTCAATTAAACATAGTTACATTCCAAATCAGTACTTTGTCTTTTTTTTTACTTGCACTTTGTTAATAATAAATGTTAAGTTTTAATTTATATATTCATTGAAGATGATTATTATTGATGTAAGGCTTAAAAATAAATAGTACCTACTTTTTCATTTTTTATATTTATATAGATGATAATTGAATTAATAAAAAATATATCATTGTACTGCCATAAAGAATTGTAGATTTTAATTAGGTATATAACTTTTTGTATATGGAAATAAAGCTAAATTGGAATGGTTGTTTTACTTGATTCCTATGTATGCATAAAATACTAAACTATTAAACTAAACTGTTTCTGCTATTATTTCCAGTTTGGTCATAAGTTTTGTTACTCATTAAAATGCATTTTTTAAATTAAAAATAGGCTCGCTTTTGACCTCCATCTAGCCTTGGGGCAAAGATGAGATCAATGATGGAGCGAGTTTGCCCAGGACTAGCATTTTCTCACGCACCTTGAAGAGGTTCAGATTATACGCACTCGGAAAAACAGACGCCGGCAGGGCATCACACTCCTTGGCTGTGCGCATTGGAGATGGCGGTATGAGCTTATGAAGCAGGTAGGTGGGCAGGCTTAAGAAGCATAACAGTGGTAGAGCTACACGGCAGCCTTGCTGTTGCATGTATGGGCCGGCTCAAACCAGTGTGGTACGACCTTACAGAACACAGGAGTGAAGTGGAAGCTCTGCTTCCGCGTTTCGTCTGGTGAGTTCATGTGGCGGGAGGCCCAATCCCCCCCCCCACAACAACATTGTTGCGGAATTAAATGTAAGAATACCTCAGGAGGGTACCAGCACCCCCCGAGAATCCCTCGCTGAGCATCCACGACCAGGTTACTCCAATCCTGCGCGTGGGTGCTCAGTTTGCCCAGCGTATTCTGAATGAAATGCGCTATCCGTGAATTTCAACAATATCAGGGGACTTCACTCTAACCTAAACGCCGTCCACTACCATCTCGAGACGGCAAGGCTCTGCTCTTTCTGACCGAGACGCAGGTGTTCTCTCTGGTTGATGCTTTTGCATCTCTCCTACTCAGGATACAAACTGGAACACACACTCCTTTGTGCCTCGGGCTGGAGTTTGCGTATACGTCAGAGAAGACATCTGTTCTCGACGCCTCGGCAGTCTTGAAGGTTCGGACCTGTCCATCCTTTGGCTACGCGTAGCAGCGACGATCACCCGCGCGTCTACGGGTGCCTCTATAGGTCCCATAGCGATAAGCTGAAACAGACCGACTCTTCGACCATATCCACATGGCCACAGATTCGTTGCTACAGCAGATCCCCTCCGCAGAATCAAACCCACCACGCCAAATGGCTTGGTTCACGTTTAGCCGATCATGCGGAGAGATCTGTTCATGATTTTGCCTCTGCATATAGTCTGACACAACTGGTTACTTCGTCTACGTGGATTCTAGATGTGGAGGATCACGCACCTTCACTGTTGGACCTTCTGCTGACCTCTAATTCGGACGGATATCAGATTTCCGTCGACGACCCCTTTGGCTCCTCAGACCATTGTTTTCTCTGGAGTGTAGTGCCTCTCACGTTGAAATCGCGGTTGCATTCTGCAGGTTGCCGCCGTGTTTGGCACTATAGGTCAGCCGATTGGGATAGGGTGCGGTCTTCCTTTGCATCCTACTCTTGGGGGCGGGTTTGCTTCTCGCCGTACTCAACGTTGTTGCTGATTCTGTCACTGATGTGGTACTTCATGGTATGAAACTCTATTCCTTCGTCTGTGGTGCCCATCGGAGGCAAATCTCAGCCATGGTTTAGTCACTCCTGTAAAACAGCATCATGCTACAAGCGGGAGTGCTACCGGGCCTGGGCTGACGCATCAGCTTCCCGGGATGTAAACACCAGCGTCCTAAAAAAGAAGTATAGTTCCGCCTTCAAGTCCTTCAAAAGAGTCATTGCCAAGGCAAGGTCTGAGCACATCGGCAGAATTGGCGAGAAGCTATTTCGCCTAACTTTGGGAACCCGTGCATTCTGGTCTCTTGCCAAGGGCTGTCCAAAGGAACCTCTGTCAGTCATCTCTTCCATCTCTGCAAAGAGAGGACAACTCACTGGCCCATGCCGCAAAGGAGAAAGCCGATCTGTTATGCTCTTTCTATGTTTCCAACTCGACTCGATGACGGGGGGGAGTACGTCGCCGACCATCTAGCGATGTGAATGCTCCATGCCGGAGGTGCGGTTAACACAGCGCTCGGTTCGCAAAGCGCTCCTCTCCCTGGACATCCACAAGTCAAATGGGCCTGACGGAATCCCCCCCAATTGTGCTGAGGACGTGTGCCCCAGACTTGGCACCGGTTCTAACACGTCTTTTCCGGTACTCTACCCTAGGCGTGTCCCAATCATGGAAGATGGCTTTCGTCCACCTGATCCTTAAAAAGACGATCGCTCAGATCCGTCAAACTACAGGCCTATCGCCATTAACTCCTTGTTCTCCAAAAAAATGGAGTCCATTGTAAACTGCCAGCTCATGAGGTACCTTGAGGATCACCAGCTGATTAGTGATCGCCAATATGTTTTTCGTCGTGGTCGATCAGCTGGTCATTTTCTGGATTACCTGACTCGTAGATAGGTGGAGGCAGTAGAGTCCAAGGGGGAGGCATTGGCAAAAAAAACATTAGTTTGGAAATTGGGAAAGCCTTGGATCGGGTTTGGCACAAAGCGCTTCTTTCGAAGCTCCCTTCCTTTGGGCTTCCCGAGGAATTGTGCAATTGGATCACCAGCTTTCTTGCAGATCCGTGCATCAAGGTCGTTGTTGACGGTGCATGCTCCGATTACAAGCCTATGAATGCTGGCGTCCCACAGGGCTGCGTGCTATCTATCACCAACGCTGTTTCTTCTGCATATCAATGATATGTTGCAAACTGGTAAAATTCATTGTTATGCGGATGACAGCACTGGTGATGATCTGTACACCGGCCGTGCCAATATTTCTCTGGAAAACGTCTCCAAATACCGGGATTACTTGTGTCTGAAGACGAGCCTTTGCTGAACAAATCCGGATTGGGGGCGACTAAATCTAGTCGAGTTTAACCCTCAGAAGACACAAGCGCGTTAACTACTAAAAAGAACCCCTTTGTAGTATCTCCTCAGTTTCAAGGCACTCTCCTTGTTGCCTCAGCCAGTATCGGAATCCTCGGCGTCGACATATCGATTGACGTGCAGTTTCTTTGTCACTTGGAAGAGAAGGCCAAATTGGCCTCTAAAAAGCATGGCGTGTCCAGCAGAGCAGGACAGTATTTCATGCCGGCACACCGCCTGCAACTTTACAAGGCGCAGGTTCGGCCGCACATGGAATACTGTTCCCATCCCTGGGCTGGAGCTCCCCAGTGCCAGCTCCTTTCACTTGACCACATCCAGTGCAGAGCGGCTCGAATCGTCGACGACCGAGTGACAGCGCTCAAGAGATGTTGAATTTCTTTGCATTTTCTTTCGCATTTACCACGCTGCCAAATTTCATGAACGCACTACGCGGCAAACCTCCCGATACCATCCACACCATCTGGATGCTTGGCGGTCTACCACTGTACGTTTGACTAGGAGTTTTCTTCCGCGTACGACCTCTCTGTGGAATAGTTTGCCACCGGCGATTTTTCCGGACCTATACGACCTAGGGACTTTGAAGAAAAGAGCTTACTCCTTCCTAAAAGGCCGGCAACGCAGCTGCAATTCCCCTGGTGTTGCATTTGTTCATGAGTGACTGTAATTAATTCACATCAGGTGAATTGTATGTTCGTTTGCCCCCTCTTCTATAAAAAAGCTCATAGGCACACTCCTAAGTACAATCTCTAGAATACAACGAGCAACTTGGCGGCGGTGGCTAAGCTGTGAAGTTTAGTTTCCACCAGTTTTTGTCGCCGATAACCTTTTTAGCTCTGCGTTCCACTGAGTCAAGTGTGGCAAGTTGATATTTTGCTGAACCATCCCAAAGGTGACTACAATATTCCATGCATGTTTGTACTTGAGCACTGTATATAGTTAGAAGCTTACCGGCACTGATTCACTGAATAGTAAATATGCTCAGTATAATAATAAAGATTGCTAGTGAATAAGTAAGCAAACGTATGATTGAATGCTCCCCGAACTAATGCCTGCAATCTTTTCGATGACCGTATATGTGATTCGGGGGTCTTTCGCACCAACATTTCAGTAGTCCATACATTTTATGCAATCTTTTCGATGTCGTATATGTGATTCGGGGGTCTTTCGCACCAACATTTCATAGTCCATACATTTTATGCCGCTACTGCTGTTTGCGGGGCCCCGCTTTTTTGGTCATCTTTAAGATTAATTTTGCTATTCTTATCCTAAAAATTGTTGCGCGTGATGAAGCTAAGTCCTACCTAATACCTAATACTAATTGTAACCGTTGTAAACTTAATTGTTCGGTTAACCAAATTTAAAATCATAATAGATCATGGCGCACAAATGTTCACGGTTAAGATCCATCGTTTTAAATAAATATCGCGGGAAGCGTTGCAGGAAAATTAAAAGAACTTTGTTTTTTTCTTAATATTGAGCAATTGACTTATGGAGTTCTATTTTTAAATAAAT